CGAAGCGAGTGGTCTATATTTAGACCTTGTCTATGCTTTTAACAAGGCAAATGAAAAGCAGAAGTATATTCTGTGGAATGTTACACAGCGCCATCTAGAAGACGTAACCTAATAATAGCTTGCATTATGGTTTGTTTTGGTAGATCATGTTGATCATTTTTAAATAAATATATGTTTTTAATACACGCAATATATATATATATATATATATATATAGTCCACCATATATAAGATAAGCACCGATCTCGTCTTTTATATACCTACATAAATCAATTTATATCTACTTCTCATTCGCCTCATCAAAGTGTAGTACAACTATTTAAATAACGCTTTTAATAGGGACTTACATAGATTGTTTTGTAGTTCAAATCGGTATAGACCAAGGATATGATTGCTGCTTAAAACTTATTTAAATAAAAGTGTGGATATTATAAAATATGTGTAAATTAATATGTGTATAAAAATATATCAAGAGCTGCAATTTGTGTTTAAATTAACACGAAAAAAAGTAAAACATTTGGTTTTTTTTACAAAACGATATCTGTGACCCCGCGCTGACTTTAATGATAATGAACAGCTGAATGCGATCAATTTTATGTCTTACAATGATTGTAACAAGGCTTCAAATTTAAAAATCTAAACTCACTTATCATCAGTCTCAAATTCGCCGGTTTCTCAGATTGTAACATTTACAACATCGATACCACCACACAATACATTTCCTACCTACTCCATTTTTTTAATCTCGTTCACCACAGAATAAACATAATCAAATGTCATTTATGTATAGATTTATTTATAACTAGATAAAAAAAAGCCGGTCAGGTGCGAGTCGAACTTTTCGTAACGAGGGTTTCGTACCCACCCAGATTTTACGTAGATTTTCGCGGAAACTTGTAAGTACCAAAATTTACCTTAATTTTCAACTTTTTTTTTATTTTTAGGGATTTTTCCTTTATTTGTGCTGTAAGACCTTGGTTTCTTTCAAATTTCGTAATTGTAGGTCAACGGGAACTACTACTACTTTTAGGTTTATGACCCAAAACCTATAGGGTACTTCCAGTTGACCTAGAATTGTCAATTTTGGTTATAAGCAAGTTTTCGCAAAAATCTAAATTTGCCCATGTTTTTTTATCGTGTTGACTCAGGACCTTCATTTTTATACACCTCTTTAACTTATTTTCTTAACTAATATGGACAATATTATTATCTAAGGTCCTGTATACTATACATATTATGTTAATGCGACTGGCTTTGTTCGCCGTTTGTTTCCCCGTTGAGGACAGGCGGCACTAGCAGCTTTATAGGCGGAGCTGGTATCACCTGAAAAGAAAATACTTGTAGTCTTTTTATTTTAACATATAAATATTTACAAACAGTGCAATTAATATATTGTGTAAAAGCCGACTCGTAACGTTTGTGTAACACCTGTAGTAAATAACAAAAAGAATTTAATTGACTCATTAAAAAAAAATGGTTCGCGTCTTACAGTTAGCAACATAAATACGTGAAATAATGCGGAATATAAAAAGAAGTTTATAATTGTGTTGGAAAACTGAAGCTAAGATTCACTTGGACTCGTAATTTCGCAACCTCAGTTATAATATAACCCATCTTACTTTCATAACACAACATCTTTTAAGATTTAGTTATATAGCTAGGTACCTACTCAATCAAATCGTAATTGTTCACGCGCCTGAGACTCGATTCCGTACACGCATGGTACACTAACAACACAAGCGAGTCCGCAGCTAAAAATAAATTGGCACTCAGCGCCCCATGACTGGTTGTGCGATGAACGGCATTTACTAAGTACCGTTAGGTAATGAGGGCACTTCGGACAGAGGACTCGAAATTTAAATTACTAGTAGATAAAAAGTTTGCTATATCTAAAAGCGGCGACGTTTTGCATTTTTTAAGGAAAAATACTCAACAATTAAGTATAACAAGACTGCTACATATAAGACATTATAATACTGCTAACTCTTTAGTTTCAAGATATTTATTTGCATATACGTGTAGGAGTTAACGAGATTACGTAATATGTAAAACAATAAGCCAATAACCATGGCCAGTTCAAGTTGGTCCAAACACCAGGCACAATTCAAATATATTTACTCGTAATATTTCATCGCGTGCTCATATCTACGTCCTTTAATTCGATATGCCACTGGTACATGACCATTCATCAATAGATATTGTTAATAATAACTTTACACATCTCACACACGGCAGTCTGATCTCATACAAGGCAGAGCCTGTGCTATGGTAACCAGACTGCTGATAAACATACTTTTATATTTCTAAATACATAAATATTACAGATCGTACTCATCATACAATTATGTGTCCTGGGTGGGAATCGGATCCAGGACGGCTTAGCAGTAGGCTTAATAACACTAGACCAACATACCAGTCGTAATGGTTCTAATAACTATTATGGATCATTGAAAAAAAATCTGACTCTAAGTTGTAAGTAACATATTCGCTGCCTATTTTGCAATATAAAAAGCATTATATTTGTGCGCACGCTACATCTACGCAGAATTTACACACACACCTCTCCGCCTAAAACTGTGCCTTGTGATATCACGTAGAGTAATTCTATAGAATAGATATCGTGAGTGGTTTCAGCTACGGACTTGATACACTGATATAATTTAAAAACTCCTGTCCTTCTAGTGCGAGCAATCAAACACATGAAAATGTTTGGTTACTACGCGACGTTTCAAGGAATACATTTGATGTAAAAATTTAAAATGTGAGTTCTTTTAATATTACAATATAAATCAGTTGAAATTTAGTTTCTGTAATTTGTTTTAACTGTTCATCTGCTGCTGATTTTAGGAAGTTTAACCAGACTCTTTCCACTTTGGGATTTAGTTACGTAGTACTGTTTGGTTATTTATGGTACATTTTTTGCTCTTTTGTTACACTTAGATAACATTATTTTTAACATGTTAGTTAAATGAGTTACTAAATACTGGTATTAATATTAAATACAATATGTACTTTACTGTATTTGGTGAGGTTTTAAAGTGCAATTTCTTGATTGCACTTATGGCGCCTTTGAAATATTTAATGCATTTCACACGGACAGCAACTAACACGGTAGGAATACAGATATGGAATGCATCTTTAACGATATAAATTAATTTATGTTATAGGCACTAATTTAAATCCAAGCTTCTCAAAAATGTCGGATATCTAATAAATCTATATTAGTCACAATATTTTAAACATTCATGCTTACTAACTAGAATTTAGTATTTTACTATATCTAAAACTTTCTTACTGTAACTTAGTTACTTTCTCATTGTAAATTAAAATGTTAATTGTTAAATCATAAGCAATCCTTCTGTTTTGAAAGAAATATGTTCCCAACTTACTGTTGATTTCATATATTTTTGGACCATTATTTTTGTTAGGGAAAAATGGATATTTCCATTCTTTACCTAGAAGCAAACCTCTTTAAGAGGATTGGAAAACACCATGATAATTAATATTTTGGCCATTCTGGCTATTTCTTTATATTTGTATATTTTTGACGATTTTTTCATCACTCGTAATAAACTATAGGTAATTGTACTTGGAGTGGTTGATTATGTTTGACTTTTTTAGCTTAACGCTAACTACCATAATAAATACATCATATTTGAAGCACTCTGTTAACTGAATTATTGTTTTCTTAGATTAAGAAAGGTTATCACTTTTTTTCGAGTAAAATGTACCGAATTGAAATAAAGCTGTTTTAAAAACTCATCATAAAAAATTAAAGTCTCGAATCTATCAATAGGTACCCTAAAGAGGACAGGAGTGGGATAACGGGAATATGACGGCGGCATGGCGAGCTACCGATTTAGTACCAATGCTATTGATACTATTAAATCACCATACCAATATATACATAAACGTATAATAATAGCAAATAAATATACACTAAATTTTGAACGCAACGAGAATATGTTTATTTTTTTTTTAAAAAAAAAAGCTCCGCCACATCACAGGCACACACAGATAACCTCCACCTGTGTACTGTCACTTTTCCCGCCAAAATCTGTTGCCGCAGAAATGTGAAACCTTTATGTTATATTAAATTTACATGTACCTACCCTATAATAATTTTAAGTATATTTAACATTAAACTTTTTATAAAATTGAACTAGTTAATTTAAAGATTTATATACATATACATATTTACAGTTGGCGTATAAAATTATTAAAGGATGTACTCAGGTTAGACATTACATCGACTGCATATCGATATTATTTATAAATAGCGCGGTTTAATTAATTTTTAATAGATGGCTAAACCGACAAAACAAAGATATTTATTATGCAACCTAACATCAAACTATTTATACGTAGATGTTCGTGTCAAACAAATGTTTTCAGAAGCTTTTAAAGCGAGGCCGTAGAATTCGTTCGTATTGCTTAATTACGTATTGCAAACTTAAAGGTTGTTTTTTCCTTTAAGTACAAGTTCTGTCGGAGATTTTATTAGGGTGTTATTTTATTCATATTATAAAAACCTTTCAATGTTAAGAAAAAAGCATATCTTGTGTACTATAGTTTCCTAAAAGCGCTAAATCTTAAGAATATTGCATGATGCAACCTCAAAATATTCTTTTTTAAAGATTAGCAAAAACGCGTATATTATCAATGATAATTTCCTTGCCTAATATCAGCATACATATTTGAAAAGAAGCAATATTAAAAACAATTGGCTTTTACGAGTAATATAAGGCTTTTAACTACATATTAAAAACATTAATTTAAATATTACCTGTACTTATCTGCTTACTGTTATTCATCCGAGTTTGATGTAATTACAAAAAAAAAAAATGTATTTTTAATTTTTTTGATACTTAGTATGACGCTTTGGAATACGTGAAAATATTTAAAATAATTATATACATTATATATATGATGATAGATTTCACATTTCAATGGCAACACCGCTACTCCCATGCTATCTAAGGCTACAACAAAATCATGCTTCAAACATTTCGTACTTGAACCTCAGCTGCCTCTTCCTCATCCTGTCAAATAAAGTGCTATTTAATAATAAATTATAATTCTTTAATCTGTAATCGATTTGTGTTGTTCGACTAGCCCATGAATAAGAATTAGCCGAACACAAAGTGTTTTTGTTTTTAATAAAAATAAACAAAGTAGTAAATAAGAATGGAATAAAATATTGAATTACAACAGAATTCCAGTTCAATATTTTAGTCGAATTAGAGCCAAAATGATCAGAAAGTGTACAGCGTTAGTGATGTGTCATGTTGATTTTTATTCCATTCTTACTCTTATCTATGGAAGATTCGTCATCGATTATCAAAAATTATTATAAGAAAGTTTAAACGTTTCTTTTTTTGAATTAGTTGTAATCAAATGTTTAATTAAGTGCTAGCTTCGTAAACTCCGTGGTTTAGCTATTTCAAAAATACCGGTAAATATATTTGTTGTTTTTATGCCTTAATTATCTTGAGTCATTGTCATCCAGAAATAAAATTCATAGTTGGTATTTGTTTGAAAATACTGTATTATTTAAATCTACCGCGTGACATTATCGTTGGTCAAAAACAGTACCGGAACATTTCAAAAAATGATGTTTCAAGTTATTGAGGATTTAAGATTTTAGAAGTTTGCAAATGCTATTTTGCCTAAAAAAATTATATTTAATGCAGTTTTATTAGTAGTTTTTGAGTAATTATTATTTTTCTGACATTTTTCAATAATGAAATAAAAATTTAATGACAAAAATAAGGTTCAAGCGCAATAATTCTCAACGAGCCATTAGTTACCAACAAAACAAACAGTTTTGAAGCAGTTAATTTCAAAAACTAAAAGCATGAAAAATTAACGTCATTATCTTCATTAATAATGTAATCTTTAGCCTCCAATCCATTCATCCTCCATAGCGATTCTTTTTCTTGAGCCCAGATATCTGTAACCAACTTCAACCTTTGCCGCCAAAAGGTTCGTTTCACAAGTAGCAATAGGCAGCTTTTGTAACGGCGTCATACACGGTATAGTTGTACACGTTCAATCTTTTTTTATAATAATATTTTCACACATTTCACACGGCTGTCTGATCCCAACCTAGGCAGAGCCTGTACTCTGGTAACCAGACCGCTGATAAACATACTTATATATTTCTAAATACATACATATTATAGATAAAGTACACCCCGAAGCAGAACAAATGACCGTGCTCATCACACAATTATTTGTCCTGGGTGGGAATCGAACCCACGACCTCTGGCGTAGCAGTCAGGGTCACTAACCAACAAGCCAGTCAAGTTTTATTGAGAGTTTTATAGCCAGTTTTATAGAAAGATCTGGGTCTGGAGAACAGCTTGCATGTCATAGCAGTAAATCATTTTGTCCGCATCATTTTTGCCTAATTCTATGTCTGCTCTTTTCTCTAATCTGCCCAAATCTACTGTTACCTAAACCTAAAATCTGCCTATTGCTATTTATGGAGCGAGTCTTTTGGTGGAAATGGTTGTGATGAAGTTGGTACGAATATCTACACAAAAAGAGTACTGCGTTGGAAAACACATTATATTCTACACTGATCATTGTTCCGCACAGCATATAAACAAGTATTTAAGTATACGCTTCTCGCCTTCAAACGTAAAAGTTTGGCGAGTTTAGAATTAAGTAACCTATGTACTTTAATTGAATTATCAGAATAAAAAAAAAAAAAAAAAAATTTTGACCTCTACCACTACGCATTTAAAATATTGGGTTGTCAAGTCTATAACGCATAAGTATTTAGTAGTTGGTTACACCCAAAAAAGACGCGTACACAGTAAGTACTAAAGAGCTGGAGAAGACAAGAATAAAAAAAAATGGTTTCAGTAGAATAGAATCCCTCACAGTAGAAATCTGTAATCCAATGTGCAAAAATCAGGCACTCCGTACAGAGTTTATGAATTAGATTCCGCTGAAATCGAAGAAAATCGAAGGTGATTCGGTAAACATTTCACTGTCAACAATGATGGCAATCGTGTTGGATAAAAAAATATAAAAACATACGATCTAAAAAGTCGAACTGGGTCTAACCACTTTATCTGGCGTCCAGAGCGCCAATGGCTCAAAAACACGCTTTTCATTTAAAATTGAAAATAATATTCAATTTTAAATTTCAAAGTCATACTGGAACATTTAAAAAAACGTGTACGTCTTGGGACGCCCGACAGAAGTGATAACTTAAAGTAATCTAAGTTGAACTATTTAATATTGAAATTGTTTAAGTTGAGAAAAGTTTAGGTTATTACTTAAATTTTATGTAAAGCGTCTGTCCGAAATACGGCTAGCGCTGTGGGTTAGAGTGAGAGAGGAGGAGCCTGCCTACCGCTGCCGTATGCGTCAAAGAAAGGGAAGCATGACAGACCGGCGCCGTAACGCGTTACGTTACGAAGCGGTTAACCCTCCTATAAGAAATTATCAATTAAGAAATACTGTTGATAAACTAGTGGTGGACTGTTGTAGATTTTAAAGTATCAGTGGGACATTTTGAAATAGACTAATATAGAATACGAGAAGATTGATTTCTTTTTCCACATCGGGATTTACGCTTTACTGTTAATGTTTAAAAAAAGAAACAGCCAGACTGATTCACTGACTGATCGATCAACGCACAGCTGCAACCGCTGGGTCTAGAAGCATGAAATTTTGCACAAATGTTCCTTAAGTGACGTAGGCGTGCATCGTCTACCACTGATGGTTAAAAATAGAGGTTGAATTTATAAGAAACTTTGTTATTTTTGGTAGTAACGTTTTCAAACTACTAACACGGTAAATACTAGACTTGCTACGAATAGTATATTCGGCAGTATACCGAATACCGAATATTCGGCGAGGCCCCTGACCGAATAGCCGAATATTAGGCAAAAGTATTCGGCTGGATTTTAGCGCCAAAAACTTGTACAGACGTGAATTAAATTATGTACCTGTTTTATGTACCAATGACTACTTAATAAATGATTATAAAAGAAATGAGAACCTTACTCTTCAAAATTTTGATTACCACAATAATTCAAATACATAGAATCCTCCATTTTTCCAATTCAGAAGATGATTATGTACCTGTGTTATGCACCAATGACTACTTAAATGATTATAACAGAAATGAAAATATGAATATATACGTAATCAATCGATTTTAATTTTTCATTTTACCAATTTCTCAATGACAAAATATATTATTTAAGTATTCGGTATTCGGCCGAATAATATGTAGATATTCGGTATTCGGCCGAATACAATAAAAGCAGCCGAATAGGCCGAATACCGAATAGTAACCGAATATTCGTTGCAAGTCTAGTAAATACTCTTTATTTAAAGTAAAAAATAACATTGTTACTAATTTTCCAAAACCCTTAACCAATTTTTTTAACTCTCAGTATAATTATATAACAGAAATAATAATTAGACACCTATTTTTTTTTAAATAAACTAAACTAAGAACTTAAACTTGATATGTACCGTTATTGATTCAGAGAGATTTTAGGATTCCCTACCAATCCACACACTTATCTCAAAACACGTAATTTCGGAAATGTTCCGGTAATGAATTTGACCGACATATGACAAATTGAATTCATTTTTAATTCACTGTAACACAAATGGTCCTTTGAGCTGAAAAATAGGTGAGAATTCAAAAACAACCCCCAAGCGGTATTTTATTTTTTTTACTACTTAACCTATTGAACATAGACAAGTATATAAGAAGTATAAACTAGGACTTATTACGAAACCTTTTCAGTTATGTACATTATCAAATGGACTCGATACTGGATCGAGTGGAATAGTACCTTACCTGACAAACGTTATTCCGATTGGTCCGAATCAAACTTCTAGAAGAATACGCAGGTTTGGAGGTGTCGCGCTAGGAGGTTGGGCTACAACACCATACTTACAGAAGGTTTGGGTCGGTGCGTGTCGACGGCGGGCACGGACAGCTTGATGTGCTCCTCGCGGCAGCCGTAGGCCACGGGCGTCAGCTTGATCACCGTGTGCAGGGGCACGTGCAGGTACGGGAGCTCCTCTGCACAGAGACACCATACATATTTTTTTTTTATTAGTGACTAAGAACTCCCTTTTTTTACCTTTCGAGATAAGAATATTTAGACGTTATTGTTGTGTTGTTACTTTATGTAAATGTGGACTAACAAAAATTTCACATTTTTAAATGAGATCAAAGCATTTAAAAATTATTCGAAATAATTTATATTAATTCAAGTTTAGTTAAGCTAAAGCTAAAATTGGTTTGACAATCACTTACGCTATTCTGACAGCCATTTTATGCAAAGCGATAAACGCCATGTTAAAACCCTAAAATTAAAAGCAGAACCTCCCTTCCACTCGGAAGATTATCACAACCTTATGAGGGCCCAACCAGGATGGGTACTATCATAATGTCCAAATAATTTCATCTCTTTGGGACTTAAATCTCACCCGCAGACTTATCCAAGAAGTAAGCAAGAAGGCATCTCATAACAGCTTGGTGGGATACAACAAGCACATTGCCCTGTCTCTCAAGCTCCATGATGACCGGCTCCAGCCTGGCCACGAGGTCTTCGTAGCTCTCCCCCCGAGGGTACCTATAAGCGAACTTATTGGCGTCTCGTGCATTGAAGTCTGAGGGATATTTCTGTTGAATTTCGGCGTACGTCATCTCTTCACAAATGCCCTGGAAACCAAAATAATAATAAAGTTTTTTTCTCCATTCAAAGAGGGGGATATATTTTTGTATATTCTATGAATTACGAGACAAGATATTAAGATTTTACGTTAAAATCGTAAAATTAGTTTATATTCAGCGTCTATTAGAAGCAAGGTAACCGGTTAATAACAATATTATGAATAATATTGAGCAGTTAAATTTTGGACATCAAAAAAAATTCATTGCTGCGCTTGCGCCACTAACTTATAATGTAAATTGATTAAGGAACGGTGCATCTCGGATTTCTTTATAAATTCGACACGTAGCACGATTACGCACGCTAATCTCTGAGACGATAGTGGAAAAAAACTTTACTAAATCTGTTAAAAAATGAGTAAGAATTTTATTTAAGTATAATAAAATTAGCAAAAATTTAATTCTAAAATAATTGCAAGAATTTTAGGAAAAATTGGTCCGAAGTTATGCACTCCATATCCTCTCAGTGGACATAATAATAGTATCAGGTAAGCTTCCAAGGAGTCTTTAATTTTTACCATATAAAGTACAATTTAACTCACCGCATCTATTTCGTTTAGCGCCTTCCACCTCTCCTGCGGTGCTTTCACATCCTTCACAGTCTGAATAGCCCGTTTCATCCACGAAGTCCAGACCCTCAAGCCTGGGATCTGCTGTTGATCGATGTAGGAGGCCAGTGATTTCGCGTACTGCTTACCCCTCTGGGATAGATCACTATCGCCGCCTATACGGCCTACTATGTTGTGTGTACTTTCTCCGTGCTATAGGAAATAAACAAATCTCATATGTAATATATAACACGGACTAAATAAAAACAAAAAGAAAAGAAAACTGAATAAAAAAGTATATATAGGGAAAATATTTTTTTGCGAAAAGGAACGTTTCTTTATGGTATAAGATTATTTATGGCTTAATAAAAGAAATAGGGGGCAAACGGGCAGACGGATGAAGAGAAGAGAAACAAGTCCTTTACCGTCCTTTGAGTGTAGCGCCCCCCAGAACGGGGGCTGGGGGGAAGCGTTTGGGCTTCGGTAACCTCAATCACGTACCGTGTAGCAACGAAACAAATGCCTAATAATAATTCTGTAAGGTCATCTTATCGCTCCGGTCGAGGAGCACCACATGTGTGGAAGCATCGCTCTCCCACGTTAGAAAACATATTACTACATAAGTATATTTATTAAAAAAATAGCGTGAGGGGTCTATGGACCCCGGTTGGAACGAAGTCCAGCAAGAAGTTTCGGAAAAAAGCCTTGTTACACATTTTTCGGTCTCGCTCCCACCCGCTCAGAGTGTGTAACGCGTAATAAGGAACTTCCAATCAATTTTCTTCTTCTATTAATATACAGATATAAATCGCGTTGCAACTCACCCTTGTCAAATAGATAGTCCTGGGCACTATATGAATATTCATTAGATAATAGACGATCCTGCTCTGTATATGCCCCTCGTGTTTGTGTACGACCACCTTTTCTCCCGTGTCATACGTCTTCATGTAGCTGTACTCCGACTCCATGTTCTCATCCAGGGGCTCGTACTTCTCTTTGTAATGCTCTATCCGCAGCAAGAAGTCATTTAGAACATTGTCTGTGTCGTGTATATTCGTGTAGTCTGGACTACTAACTTTGACTTCCTGTAATTGTAAAATTTAATCAATTAATGAAGTCATTTTTGATCTTATAATAATTGTCGTAAATAAAACCAATTTGGCAATTTAGAGTTGATGTGATGACAATACACCGAGTAATGGTAATCAGCACGAACCGACGAGCCGTACAACGATTTACTTCTCATTTCTACATTACTGAAACCCTCGCAGACCATGTGATACCTGAGGAAGGATAGTAGAAGCCGGTATGGGATGAGCTTAAATGTAGGGTTCGAGCCGCAGAGAGCTGCGATAATCGCAATTAAAGAGGATTGGAATGAAATTCATTAAGATTTCATTATCAGGTTCGTCAGGTTTGGGAGGTTTTATGAGGTGAGGCTTTGTGGCGACTTCCACATACAAAGAAACAGAAATATACTACAGCGCCATCTAACGAAGACACACCATACTACGGAGTAACTGCTAATCCTGTATCACGATATGAGCTATTCTCTCGCCGATTAGCATAAATACAACTTCATGGCGGGCCGTGGTTCAACATCAAACGTTGGACCACGGCCCGCCATGGTCACCTAGCCTGGTCGGAGGATCCTCCCTTTGACATGACACCCGTTCCTCTAGACTGAATACTGGCCAAAAACTTTTTTCAATATTTTCTTTGTTTCTGGCTTTTTTGTCCGGTTAATTTGCTGTCCAGTGTAATATAAATCTTCTTCCCTTCTTAGAAACGCGGAATACAAAATGCATTAAAAATAGGCATATAATGAAGTTTTATAAAAACAGAAAACACACTATAAATGACCACCACTTAAATGATTGCCATATTCAATAAAAAAAAAGAAATAGGTGGGTTCTTACCATTATATTCTGCTCAATAATCCCAGGGTCATCGCAGATAGACTCCACGAAGAACAATTTGAATCCCATCTTGTGTACCACGATGTCCCGAATCATCCGCCGCCGGTCCAACGTAGAATTTGTCGCGTCAAACACCTGTGTAAAATAAAATTGTGTTGTATTAACAACTATATAAGATTCATATTTTCTCACAAGTAGAACTCGGATTTCTAGCTAATATCTTAAGCTAAGGTCGATCGAAGCACTAACAACAACAATGATTATACTATTAATTGCTTTTGCGTTTCTGCTCACCGAGTGAGTGACGTTTCGGAGCCCAAACCTCTCCTACCTCTGAGTTGGGGAGCGTAAGGCAAGTTGCAGGACTTGCAGGTATGCATGGTCGGCGGTAGTCAGAGTGCCTAGTGCAAGTTAATTTCACATCAACGACAGCGAGCGCATTCGGTGTTGCGATTGGTGAAGATTTCAGAGGCAAAAGTGCGAATTTATATCACATCTACTCGATCGTCGCGGTGACCCCGCACTGGAATCTGCACCAATCGCAGCGCCGAACGCGCTCGCTGTCGAGAGCGAGTTGAGTGGTGCCTACCTCCTCAGTGCAAGCCAATCGCAGCGCCATGTGCGGTCACCATTACGATCGAATACATGTGAAATATACTTGCAATAGGCGCTCAGGTGACCCGTCTGTTCGTTTGCAATATGCCATAAACAACTACTGTACCAACCCGTCTGGCCAGCGTGGTATAGTAGGCCAAAACCTCCTTTCTAAGGAGAGGCCTATGTCCAGCAGTGGACTGTTATAGGCTGTTGATGATGAACTACTACTAAAAAAATGGATTAAAAACTAAAAGCGACTCGAGCCGGCCCATTAATGTTGGATCATGGCTCTTCCACGGTGGGTAACTGATCTGTATCCTTCCTTTTAGGTTATAATATAAATATACTAAGTTAGTAGGAGAAATGGTAAAGATACTAACAGCCACTTCGCCGCCTTTGGTGAGCCATTCGCAGACATCGTGAAGAGCGTCCAGCGCGCACTGCGTCCGTATCGCCATCGCCTCCTTGTTGTCGGTGCGGAAGAACTCGTGTGATGTGTATGCGGTTGTGGCATGCCGTCTGTATTCACCCAGGTTGAATACTGCCAGAAGAAATGGGAATAAAATTAAATTGACATAAACTAGTCCTGATTTCGTAGAGAAACTGATTCATTATTCATCAGAATCATTCAATCGATAGTACACCACCCAATTTCCTTATATTTATAGTGAAGGATTTTATGTAACTATGTATGTTTCTATATATATAAATATGTGTGTATAGTATTAATAGTATGTATATTAATGGTATATATTTAGGTATGTAGTGTTGTATAGTGCATATTTTAGTTGAATAGCAATGCAACCTATGTGCGCCTACGACTAACGATTTCTACACCAACTAAAGGTTGACTGGTAGAGAATGCCCTGGGCATGCATTAAGTTCGCCGAAATAAATCTGCTGCATAAAATTGTGTAAATAAATAAATAACAGATTTTACAGATTAAACGTGGGCTTTATTCAACGTAAATATGAACATACCAGCTTTTATCCGCAGTTTAAAGAAGCCTGTCTGTTATTCCAGACTATACTAACAATAACAACTCTTTATTTACCACAAATTACACATTGTTGACTAATAAAATTTCGACAGTGTTATAAATAGAATAAAGTAATCAAGCTATATTATAAACAGTAATAGGTTCCTGGCTCCAAGGTTCCTGGCCAAAACAAGGTTATCACCTCTGATTCAGCGTTCCTCTATTATTTATTACGTCGATCTATACTTATGTATTTACAAGAGTTACACGAGTACTGTAACTATAATAATCTATCTCCGTGCCAAAATTCATCCAGATCCGTTGAGCCGTTCTGGCGTTATTAAGTTGCAAACATTCATACATCCATTCTTACATACTTTCGCGTTTATAATGCTAATGTGTTTCCAAGAATACTGGCACAAAATATATAAACGTAGATCACACAGAGGCGTTTTAACTCATCATCTGCCTACTCTTATCCCAATTTTATCTGGGGTCGGCGCAGTAAGTTTGATTCTTCCATTCTAATCTATCATTCGTCATCTCACTGTTTACTACCTGCCTAGTCATATCCTCACTCACACAGTCCATCCACCTTGTCTTTGGTCTTCCTCTTCTTTTGTACCCCTCAACTCCCATACCTAACACTTTCTTCGCCACATTTTCCTATCCATACCAAGATAACCTATTACTTCTTAACTTTTCATCCAGTGGCGCTACTTTCGGACTCCATCGTATATACTCATTCCTAACCTTGTCCATCCGAGTCACACCACACATCCATCTTAGCATTCGCATTTCTGCTACGTTCAGGCGTCTCTCATTCGTTCTTTTAATGGGCCAACTTTCAGAACCATACAGGACGGCAGGTCTGATGATAGTTTTACTAATTTGTCCCTTCAGTGTTAAGGGAAAAATAGGGTCACAAATTGTTCCCGTTACCTGTCGCCACTTCATCGATCCTGTACTGATTCGATGCTGTACAGTTAGATCAATCTCACCATCACAGAGTAGAGGTACTTGAAATTGGAGCAGACTGTTATCGCTATCCCATCCAGCGAAATGGTTTGATGTTGAAATGGTTACTCAATTTTGGTTCTGCTGCTTTTCAAGCCTACATTGTCCAGCCTTTGTTGCCATTTTTAGAGTCAGCTCTGGATCTCACCCCCGTCTTTACCGACCAACATAATTTCACTAAGGTGCCTCCTCCAATATGTCCGATGTCAGAGCATCCATTATCATTAGGAAGACGTATGGGCTCAAAGCCGATCCCTGGTGTAAACCTACAGAGACACTGAATTAATCAGTGTTTCCCGTGACCGAACTTACATGAGTACTAGACTGTCTGTACACTCGGTACCTACTATTACATTTACAAAGACTAGCCGCGATGTTTTAGTGGGTGGAATCAAAAACAATACTCAAGGATTGATTGACTGCACGGATGGCGTTAGTGGTTTAAGCGGTCACCTCGCTGATTCCTACTGCACTGAGTGTTGTGGGTCCGATCCCCACATGGGAAAACACTTTGTATGATCCACAAATTGTTGTTCTGAGTCGGAGTGTTTATTGTGTCCGTTTCATCGTATGTTTTTAAAGTCACCCGCACACAGGATAGAGTGAAAGGTGTTTTTGTTGTAAACGTTTTTTTATCAGAAAATTCAGACTGGTAACTAGAAATAATAGTTTTATTTAACCAAAGTTAATTCTTTGGTTCCAAATTAAATTTTGGTTTTCCTGAACTTGTAATTTTTCTTGAAGTTTGAAGTATTAAAAGTTTAGTTGCAATCGTTCCGTAGTTTTATGTGCAGTATTCCATAACATAAATTTCATTCAAAATGGACGTTCAACATAGACGTCAAAACCAATAAATGTAGCTACTGCATAACCTTCTAGCTAATTTATACATAAATGGATGCGGCCTCTTTAAAATATCAATATATTTATTGACTGAATCATTTCAACGTTGCGTTGGCAAATGATGGCAATTTATTTGAAATGTCTTGATCGTTGGAGTACTTTGGAGACGGAAGCTGTACGTTAGTATTTGTACGTTTATAACGTACAAATACTCGTCCCTCTGTTGCCATATTGTTTTGTTACATATCTCATCTTACGGCCAGTTTTAACCGACTTCAAAAATAAAAATTGAGGTTGGTCTCATTTGAATTTGAAAAATATATACCACGAGCTTAATACATTTTTTAGGCGTACCTACCTATTGCAGTCGGTGCATTTTTTTAAGTTCATTTATTGATATTAATAAATGCAATAGCAGGTACTAATTATTACAATTCTACTGTAATAGTCTATTTTTACTTGACTTAGAAAAAATTATAGTTGGCAAAATGAGTATTTATAATAGGCTTTTAACTACATTTTTGCCCTTCGGAGCTACAAGAATGTGTATACAAATATTATGTATATTTGTATATTTTTTTATTCAAAATAGTAAAGTGAAGGTTTTAAATAAAATAAACAAAACCTGTCCGTGTGGTGAAGGATTAAGAATACAGAGTGTCACCACCCCTATTCATCCCGTGGGTGTCGTAAGAGTTGACTAAGGGAGCAAACTACGCAGTACAAAAGCACTGCAGAGAGAAGGAAAACTTGACACAAACCCTATACCATCCCGTCTGGCCATCGTGGTATAGTAGGCTAAAACCTCCTTAAAGCCTCTAAGGAGAGGCCTATATCCAGCAGTGGACTGTTAAAGGCTGTTGATGAAACAAACCCTTAAGACCACAACACCGCCTCTTGTTTTTTTATTAATGTAGTTGTCGGGCGTCGATTAATATGCCGTTCTTCGTCTCCACTAATCTCACTTTTCTCACTCGTTAGGCATGAATACTTTATATATCTGGGTATATTAAATTCATTGCTTAATCATACCTCTTGTGTTGATGCCGATCCAATTGAGATACCGTGACAGTTTTTTGGATATGTAGGTCTTGCCACGCGCTGGTAGACCCACCATCGCGATGACATGTGGTATGTTCACATAATTAGCACGTTCACCTGTCAACAAAGAAAAATAAATATAATTTAGACACATTGTTAAAACACCAGTTTATTTTGACAATTTCTCACGTATGAATTTTAGAGTGGGTTATGTGTATGTGTTTGTATGACCTGACAAGCAACCATCTGACAACAAATAAAACAAAAATCATTTAGAAACATTGTAACAACAGGTGTTTCCTTTCACATTCCAGCACTATGTAAGTGTGGATAGGTGTATATATTAGACTTGCAACGAATATTCGGTTACTATTCGGTATTCGGCATATTCGGCTGCTTCTATTATATTCGGCCGAATACCGAATATCTACATATTATTCGGCCGAATACCGAATACTTAAATAATATATTTTGTCATTGAGAAATAATTGGTAAAATGAAAAATTAAAATCGATTGATTACGACGTATATATTCATATTTTCATTTCTGTTATAATCATTTAAGTAGTCATTGGTGCATAACACAGGTACATAATCATCTTCTGAATTGCAAAAATGGAGGATTCTATGTATTTGAATTATTGTGGTAATCAAAATTTAGAAGGGTAAGGTTCTCATTTCTTTTATAATCATTTATTAAGTAGGCATTGGTACATAAAACAGGTACATAATTTAATTCACGTCTGTACAAATTTTTGGCGCTAAAATCCAGCCGAATACTTTTGCCTAATATTCGGCTATTCGGTCAGGGGCCTCGCCGAATATTCGGTATTCGGTATACTGCCGAATATACTATTCGTTGCAAGTCTAGTATATATGTGTTTGTATGACCTGACAAGCAACCATCTGACAATAAATAAAAACGAAAATCATTGAGAAATATTGTAACAACAGGTGTTTCCTTTCACATTCCAGCACTATGTAAGTGTGGATACGTGTATGTATGTGTTTGTATGACCTGACAAGCAACCATCTGACAATAAATAAAAACGAAAATCATTTAGAAATATTCTTAAAACAGCAGTTTATTTTCACACTCGCTTATCTATGTGACTGCGGGTATGTACGTGTGCGTGTGTGTTTATGTGTTTGTACGAGCACGCTGGCGTGATGTCGTCGTATGTGAATTGGATCTCCTTCATAAACAAACTGCATTTGTTTTAACTTAACACTATGTTCAGAAATCAGTTACGCGAACAATGAGCCATTCTATGACATGTACATACATGTGAATCAATGACCAGTTGGTCTAACTTCGACCAATGAGTAACTATTCAATATTTTCTTTTATTTTATTAGACTATTTGGTGGTTGGTCCGTGTGGTGACGGATTAAGAATACAGAGTGTCACCACCCCTATTCATCCCGTGGGTGTCGTAAGAGCCGACTAAGGGAAAAAAATTACGCAGAACAACAGCACTGCAGAGAGAAGGAAAACTTGACACAAACCCTATACCAACCCGTCTGGCCCGCGTGGTATAGTAGGGCAAAACCTCCTTTCTAAGGAGAGGTTTATGTCCAGCAGTGGACTATTAAAGGCTGTTGATGATGATGATGATTTGGAAAAAATATTAAGCTATCGATTTTCAGTTTAAGATGAACAGAACAGGATTACTATTCCATGACAGGTCCATAAATACAGAATTAAAGGTACTGCGCGGCGTTGTAACCAACCTGTATATTCGTGTGGTGACGGATTAAGAATACGGAGTGTCACCAGCCGTATTTATTTCGTGGGTGTCGTAAGAGCCGACAAAGGAACTGCAAAGAGAAGAAAAACTTGAAACAAAACCCTATACCAACCCATCTGGCGAGCGTGGTATAGTGGGCAAAACCTCTTTTTTAAGGAGAGACCTGTGACCAGCAGTGGACTACTAAAAGCTAATGATTAAATTTTACAAATTTCACATTGTACAAAGTCCTCAGGCATATTTTAACTAGTCAGTACTAGACTAATATTATTGTATGGATCGTTGTTTATTCTTCAAACACGTCAGTCAGAACGACTAAACGGAATTAGATGAAATCTGATACAGAGATAGATCATAGTCTGGAATAGGACATAAGCTTATAGCCAGCCATAACCAGAAAAAAATATTGATGAAATCGATATTACAGCGCGCGAAGTCGCATAAAAAAGCTAGTATTAGGATATACAGATAAATTGGTTTCCTTGTACCATTTTGAGGAATGAATGTGTATTAAGTGGAAGAGAAGTCAGGCCTGGCCATCACGTTTCGCTCTTCGTGAATATACACATATTTTTATACATAAATGATTTGTTCAATAAACAAGTCAATGTTCACATGATACATAATGTATTTGTGTATATACATATATTTTATCAGAGTAAGGTTATCATTAAATAACATGTTGATTGGTTACTACCTCAGACATTTTACGTTCAGTACAAAAGGTTGCTTTTCTGGTCGTAATACCTATGTACATATTAAGAGCCTCTTTTGAAGTAAATTTAGGTTAAAAAAGTTGTATGATAATGATAACTAAACAACTTTCCTAGTGATATTTAACTTCATATCTCGTTAACCCCTTTAGCTTATTTTTTTAACCAACTTCAAAAAGGTTCATTCCATTGCATTTATTTTAAAAGAAGAACGACAGTATAGTAACTGCCGAGCGTCTAGCTATATATATCTATATATGAGGGATGGTTATGAGATTTATACGGTTCATAAAGTGAATCATCTTATTTTCATGTAATTATCATATTTTTAGAACTTTGCTAAAAGTATATAAAATCTTTTATTTTTTTTATTACAACTGCAATAACTAAACGTTCAAGTCTTGTTAACAAAACGCATTCCTACGTTTTCTAAACTGGCCATGCATAAATATATTTTATTACATAAAAAACGATGTTTACATCGATATTTAAATGTATATGACCTCACTAGTGTATTTAGCAGTTAAAACAAACATTTTTTTATTACTAATATTGACTGTACAGATTAGAGGAAGTAATAAAGAAATAATTATTTTAAATCAATTAATTTAAGGACAGGAACTAATAATTTTTATTCAAATCGATCGGATTTGTGACAACCAGCTGTCCTCGGTAACTGTTTCAGTACAGCTTATAACGTAAACTTCAAACAGAAATAATTTTTGAGGGTCTTAAAGAACTAATAACCTGGTAATGAAACTGTAATTGTTGATGATATTACCAGCCAAATAATATCCTATACAACAATAATCCCTACCATGAGATACAAGGTATTTTTTTTTAAGACAGCTCCCGCATTAGGAACATATATCCTGTGTCGCGGGAGACTTTCCAAACATACATGTAACGGACACAAAGAACACTCAGAACAACAATTTGTGGATCACACAAAGTATCGTCCCATGTGGGGTTTGAACCCATAACACTCGGCGTAGTAGGGAGCGGCGTGGCGACCGCTTAAACCACTACTCCATCCGTGCAGTCATGCACAAGGTGGTACAAAAGTCCCATACATGCGTGCTATTGTCCTTTTAGTTTTTTACCCCAAAACTCTGTCATTTGTAAACCGATTTGGAAATACCCGCGACTTCGTTCGCGTGAAATTTGAAAAGCGCTGCCTTAGTGGGTTAATTCCCGGACCTGGCAAAATTTACTGGGGTTTTCTGAGACGAGATTCGAGAAATCGATGACCGGAAATCACAACTCTGCCAGGTCATCATAGGGGAGTGGAGGGAACGACTCGGGCAACCGAGCGCCGGGCACGCCGTCATCGCGGCGGTAAGACCCGTTATGGAGGATTGGCTCGAGAGGCGTCACGGGACCCATCAATCAGCCAACACTCAGAACAACTATTTGTGGATCACACAATGTGTCGTCCCATGTGGGGATCGAACCCACAACACTCAGCGTAGTAGGAAGCGGCGTGGCGACCGCTTAAACCACTAAGCCATCAGTGCAGTTACCCCTTATATAGACAGCTACCTGGTAGTAAAATATTATCAAAATCGGTCCAGCCGTTAAGAAGATTACCCGGAACAGACAGACAGACAAAAATCAACTGGTTTTTAGGCATAGGTATCATGCAAATAACCGTGTGAGCATGAAAATAAGCTTTTATTTTGGCATTACAAACAGACACTTCAATATTATTTATTTGTATAGATAGGGGACAAACAAGCAGACGATTCACTTGATAGTAAGTGACTACGGCTACGAATGGATAACAGCTCAAGAATTACAAGTGAGTTGCTGGCCTCTGAGGTGGGAGCATCCTCCTTAATTGAACATTTGAAGGTCGTATCAATATTACTAGCTCGTATTTGGACCAGCTTGTTGTTTGATTAAACCTAGATTGATGTTGACACTTTTGGATCACGTTAATGCAAAACGCTGCTAAAACTTCATCTCTCTACCTGCTCCTTATCTACAATTCTTTGAAGAGTCCTAAGATAGGTGCATACAAGGTGCATTCTGAATTTTCTATATTTTTTTTTGATTGTTATTACTCTTTTAAAACGTAATTTCTGTAGCATATTGCAGTAAACTTAAAGTAACTCATGCGGAGGGATGAGGAAAATGTTGCGAAGAAAGTGATAAGTATGAGAGTTGAGGGGTACAATAGAAAAGGGGAATCAAAGAAAAGGTGGATGGACTGTGTGAGTGAGGATATGGCTAAGCCTTCCTAGCCATATCCTCACTCAGACAGTCTGTCTCTATCTGTCATTCGTCATCTCACTGTTTACTCCCTTGAGTAAACAGTGAGATGACGAATGACAGAGTAGAATTGAAGAATCATACTTACTGCGCCGACCCCAAATAAAATTGAGATAAGGGTTGGCAGTTGATGATTGTTGTAAACTCATGTTTTGCCGTGGGAGAGCAATTCTTCGTCACCCAGCTCGTCTGGTATGATACCACGGCCTCACAGAAAACCGGTGTCAAGCTAATTGTGTCCTGCTTTTCACTTTTCAATGATAAGAAACTGACAAAAATTCGTATGTCATAATAACACAAGTACGGTTTTACTTATCACACACCATATCTATTAAAACTAGTTGATAAATGTTTCTAGTTAAAATCAATAAATAGAAGGTTATTACTTTTTCATTAATAACATATTACATATGGTAAATAACATGATTATTTAATAATATGGTTTTATCATGAGCAAACAGCCTTCCTATATTTGTGATTACTGGTGAAGTTATGGGATTTTTTAACTTACACTTATTCACCATCAGAGAAGGCAGTCTACTAGTTGTCCATGATCGTATTTTTTATAGCTAATTAGAATTTTATTTTTATGAACTAAACTAAAATTTTTTGTTAGTTAGCTATATAATTTTTGGGTTCAGCCTACATAATATACTGAACAATGTAATATATTTTAGATTCTACTACAAGCTGTTGCTAAGGACCAAACAAACAAAACAAATAAGGCGAAGAATGCAGCTTGAGATCAATCAGGAGGATGGACATATATTATTAACGCCTTCTGAACTACTACCATTGATAACCCGCGCACTTGTATTTATACACCAAAACATGCGTGTACTACCTTAATGACCGAGTTCTGTTCCAGAGACCTTACCTCTATTAGGTTAAAGGAACCCTCATCAAACCTGCCTGACGTGGTGATAGCATCAGCCTACTTGCCGGGCGATGCTGACATCCCCACTCCGGAGCTGGCTGCGCTGGCACACCACTGCGAGCGCGAGGGTCTGGAGCTGATCATCTCTGCCGACACCAACGCGCACCATGCGCTGTGGGGCAGCAGGAGCAACAACCGGAGAGGTGAGGAATTTGTATCGTTCCTATTATCAACTAACCTTAACATTATCAACGTGGGCTCGGAGCCGACATTTGTCACGTCCAGGGCCCAAACTATAATTGATCTTACATTAGCAAGTGAGCATGCATCGCAACACATATCGAACTGGCATGTTTCGAACGAAGCATCGTGCTCAGACCATCGCTGGATCAAATTTAACTTTGAAATGAAACTTAAACTACCCGATCCCCGACGGAATCCCCGCACGATGGACCGGAAACGGTATGAACATCTTACTGCGGAGAATCTGCGAAGCATCAACCCAACATACGCTACGGGGACTGTTAAGGACATTGACAGTCATGTTGTCAACCTTACACAGACACTGATCGATTGCTTTGAACAAACATGCCCACTTTCCACACCCAGAACTGGACCACAGAACAAACACCAATGGTGGGGTCCGGAACTGGAAAGACTACGTCGTAAAGTGAGAAAGTTGTTCAATAAAGCAAAAAACTCGCGACTAGACCAACATTGGGATGCCTACACGCAGGCCCGACAACAATATAAGAAGAGAATCAGAACCAGGAAAACTGAGTGCTGGAGAAACTTCTGTACTAACATAGAGAACAACAACCAGGCCAATAGAGTCAAAAGCATACTGTGTAGTAGAGGCGAACACAATCTTGGCTCACTGAAGAAGCCTGATGGTAAGTATACCAAAACAGACTCGGAAGCCTCAGAGCTGTTATTAAAAACACACTTCCCTGGATGTCGCATATCAGATGTGATGGAAAAATGGGAAGACAGATGGGAAAAACCACCAGATGATACAGACTGGGATACGGCCCGCAAAGTTGTCACCCATGACAAACTAAGATGGGCAATTAACAGCTTCCTACCATTCAAGGCGCCAGGACTAGATGGTGTCTTCCCAGGCCTACTGAGATGGTGTGATACGACATTACTGGACCATCTTATAAAAATCTACAGGGGCTGCCTGGCGCATCAGTACATCCCCTTGAAATGGAGAGAAGTTAAAGTAGTCTTCATCCCCAAACCTGGTAAAGGTGACTACACACAACCCAAATCACACCGACCTATTAGTCTCACATCTTTCCTACTAAAGGTTCTTGAGAGGCTAATAGATAGGGAAATCAGGGAAACTGCGTTAGTCAGTCATCCTCTACACCTCAATCAACACGCATACTCGATGGGTAAATCAACAGAATCTGCCCTACATCGAGTTGTTTCATATATAGAAGACAATCTAAATCACAAAAGGTCAACACTGGCCACCTTTATCGATATCGAGGGAGCCTTTGACAAGACCAACTTCACCAGCATTAGCCAAGCTCTGTCTAGGCATGGTGTTGATTCCACAATCTCAGGGTGGATCGACAGCATGCTAAGATATAGAGCTATACAATTCACTGTGAGCGAAGTGACTAGAGGAGTGGTGGCTAGAGGTTGCCCCCAGGGCGGTGTACTCTCCCCCCTTCTATGGAACATTGTTGTGGATGAGCTCATCGCACAACTTAATGACCAAAGATTCCTCACAATAGGCTATGCAGACGATCTTACCATTCTCATCAGCGGTCCTTTTGAGAGCATTACATGCGATCAAATGAGACTTGCACTGAAGATCGTGGAACAATGGTGCGCAGCACACAACCTGACAGTGAACCCATCCAAAACAGAGATGATCATGTTCACAAACAAACGCAGCCTAGGAAATCTCAGACTTCCCAAGCTATTTGGAACACAACTTACTCTTACCAAAGAGGTCAAATACCTAGGAGTAATACTGGACAGTAAACTCCTGTGGAATAAGCACCTCGATGAAAAATTGAATAAAGCCTGCATTATTTTCTGCCAATGCAAGCGGCTACTCGGCAAAAGCTGGGGACTATCACCCAAAATTACTTTATGGCTATACAGGACAGTCATAAGACCAATAATCACTTACGGTGCTGTTGTCTGGTGGCAGAGAACAGAGCTAAGCACCGTCATAAACAAACTGCAGCAATTCCAGCGACTCCCATGCTCCGCGGTCACTGGCTGTATGCGCACAACGCCTACTGCCGCACTGGAGGTGGCTCTTGGTCTGCCACCCCTGGATCTATTCATACAGCAGGAGGCCGCCATGGCGATCATTAGACTCAAACACCTAGGTCTATGGCACAAAAGGGAGGGATCGCACTCTAAATTATGGGATCAATTGGTGGAATACGAACCACTGATAGCAGCTCCATGCGATAGAATCCCAAAACACCATATCTTCACAAGAAGATACTACATCCAGATACATGGAAATGACCGAGATCAATCCGGCATTAACGAAGTCCGAATTTACACGGACGGTTCCAAGACTAGGTCAGGAACTGGAGCCGGCGTTTTCTCGCAAGACCTAAATATAAACATATCACTAGCGTTAGGCCAACACAGCTCCATATTTCAATGTGAATGTGTGGCAATAACTTACGCCGCCACAACGGCCATGTCAAGGGGTATCAAGGACTACAACATCCGAATAATATCCGACAGCATGGCCGTCTTAAAGGCATTGGAGGGCAACACAATGACCTCTGGTGTTGTCCTCGAATGCCACCAAGCACTGGAACAGCTCGCTATATTCAATGGGGTACTCCTCCAATGGATTAAAGGGCACAGTAACTCACACGGGAACGATGCCGCAGATGAGTTGGCAAGGAGGGGCTCGGCAACCCCAACCTCTGGCCCAACCCCACTCCTGCCCATATCGTTTAACCAAATACGATGCTGGGTCAGGCAACGGACCTGTGAAGCACACAACCGGAGGTGGAAAAACTCACCCGGCTGCAGACAGTCCAAACTGGTGCTGAATCAAGTCACGCCACGACTAACCTGCAGACTGATCAGTCTTAGCAGACCGGAAATCAAAATGGTTGTCGGAACTATTACAGGACATCTAGCCCTGAACCGACAACTATTCATAGTCAATGCGACGGACAGCCCCCTGTGCAGGGGGTGTCTGGAAGCTGAAGAAACGGCCGCCCACGTAGTCCTGGAATGCGAGGGAGTGGCCCCACAACGGGCAAATATCATTCCTGATATAAAGTCGCTCCTAGAAGCCTGTGAACGCCCCAGGAGGCTTCTGCGCTTCTGGAAGGAGCTTGGCTGGCTCACCTAGTCAACCAATCCCCGACGCATAAAGGACCACTCTGAGTCTAAATGCGGAAACCGAGGCCCACAACCAATACCAATACAAACGCCTTCTGAAATCAAGACGTCATAGGGCACAATTATTGATATAGATTCAAAGGTCCTAAGAAACACTCATCACTTGCTTTTAAGGACCTCTTAAATGCCCGGGTCACTAAATTTTAAAATATGCCTCTCTGTTCAACATTAATGTAACAGAAAGCCCTCTTTCCAACAGAAAGCCAGGGATCAATGGGTAAGTTTATAGGAACAAATATTTCAAAATACATACATATTACTTGTCCTGGGTGGGAATCAAACCCACAACCAGCTCTACTTAGCAGTCGGGCGACAAACACCTTGACCAACAGGCCAGTCAAATAATGTATGACGTAACATAGTTTTAAAAAACATACATCTAATATATAAAATTCTTGTGTTGCAGTGTTTGTTACCTCCGAAACTGCTGCACCAATTTTTATGAAATATTGTGTTTATATTGGGTAGGTCTGAGAATTGGCCAACATCTATTTTTCATACCCCTAAATGATAAGGGGTTTATAATAATAACCCACCCCTATTTTTAATTTTTTGTCAATTTCCAAAAAAATAATGTTTATGGCAAAACAATGTTTACCGGGTCAGCTCGTAATGCTATAATTTTCTAAAAACTTTATAAAATGTAATTCAATAAGCATACAGAACAAGTAAATAATATGATTTGGTTCTCCTACCCCGCATTATACACTTTTTAGCTTAAGATTTGTTTTAGCTGTGTACCTTTAAACATCCCTGTTTATAAACACTTAGTTTTATTATAGGGTAATTACAGCACCAAATGTGGGCCTTTGAGTAGAGAAGCAAAATATTTTTGCCTGTATAAGTTGAGCAATAAAAATTGTAGTAAGAGAGTGAACTGATAACAACAAAAGACTCTCACAAATTACTAAATTCAAATAATCACTCTAATCAAATTACTCTTTCAATAAATAAACTCAATCAATAAGATTGGTTTTATTTCAAAGTAAACATGTTTTTCAATCTTTTAATAAGTTTTTCTTCCTTGGATTTTCTGTTTTTTAACTTACTAATTTGTTGTTATTGTACTATTACTCATTTAATTAAAGATTAAACGAAAAACGAAGTTCTTAAGTTTACTTAATGATCATGTTTTTAATTTTAAAATAATGGGAAATTAATTACTATCAATTAGATTTCTTAAAATAGACAAAGTGAACGTCTAACAATATAATTCTAGTCGTGTAGCCTCGATCAAAGCAACTTTAAAGTAATCAAGAGCATTCATTTTGATTAATTTATCTAAACTTTTAATCAATTCAAATTAAAGGTCAAATAAGATGAGGCCGCCAAAGTATGGTGTGCGGAACTTATCGTCTAATGAAATACGTATGTCCTTGTACGACACGTAAACCAGTGCGAAATTGTAGTGCACAAATCATAAAAAAAAATGTTGTTACTAACCATCACCAAAATACTGCTTATTCAAGAACTTCCATCCCTCGGCGCGGTTATCCTCCGAATCCATTGTTATTTGAATTATATTCTACCAATACCGGTAGACTAGATACGTATTTTAGTAATAAAATTTAATTATTATTGCGCTCGCTCTTGATGTACGATCAACATCAATGCAATATGAGCACTGTTACTGTCAGTGTCAAGTTGAAATCGATTGACAGGTACGCATAGACAAGAAGATTTTTGACACAAGCTAGATTTATGTTATGTGATAGTGATGCGCAAAAAAACGAAGATAACAGTAGGTTATAAATATATGATTTTGTTTGTAATAAATACATGTATACAAGTAAGTTCGTGGATAATATTTATAACTACAATTCGCAGTCTAGAAGTTTACTAGTAAACAGGTCCCCAGAGTTTAATGTACGCCACTTACGAGCATTGTGTTGTTAATACAATACTGTTATATGTAGGTGTGTTATATAGGTCTACTAATTTATTAAAATACAAGGTTGAGAAAGGCGAGACCATGTTTATGATACAACTTAAGAGCATTTAAACGAAAACCTCTACTTAAATCTCAAGATAAGGGCCTATAATATTTGCACGTTGAGTTGCTCTGATTGGTTAGAACTATAGTAAATATTTGTTTAAAGTAATAAACTCTCTCGACTCTAGACTACAACTTGTGAACATCAACTAATATTAATTAAGAGATTGCTCAAACTCGATTCGATATTTTTCTCCGCGTAGTTCATATATCTGTCCTGTTTTATTGTATAAATAAAATAAAAATCATGTCAATAGGTCGCTCCGTTTCAAAATGAAAGTAGACACAAACAAACAAATAAAAAGGCAACAGACACACTTTCACATTAATAGTTTTAGTTATTAGTATTCCTAGATAGGTGATTTTCGTAGATAATAGACCGCGGGCAATCATGTTTTAACAAGTTTTTGTTAAATCAAAACAAAACAATGTCGGAAGTAAAAAAGAAGAGACGGCAAGAATGTAGCTTATTTTCAAGACCTACGGAAGAAGCAAAATACTCAGAAAATATGTGAAGAACTATTGTTTTCTAAAAATTTTGAGACCGATACAAAAGGGAAAACCATAATCAATACATTGGAAAAGTTTTGTGTTGAGAAAGAGATTCCCTTGAAAAATATTATATCAGTTGCTACGGATGGCGCTCCGGCTATGACAGGGTGCCATTAAGACTTCATAACGTATTTAAAAAATAAAATTACGATGTCATTGCTGTATTAGGAAACGGAGTATACAGTTTATTAAAATTCATCATGATGTAGTCACATTGAAATCGGTGATACTATTTTAAGTGTTAATGATTTCTATTGAGAATGCCGAAGCTCGTCCATGGGTATTAACAAAACAGAGAAAAAAAAGACTTTTTTGTATTCGTCTATGCATACATTTATATTTAACTAGCTTCTGCCCGCGTAAATGTCGATTATCGCGGTAAAAATGCGCTCCCTCCGCGTAAATGTCGGTTATCGCGGTAAAAAGCCTATGTCTTTCCTCAAGAATCAAAGTATCTGCATACCAAATTTCATCTAAATCGGTTCAGCGGTTATTGATTCCCCATACAAACTTTCACCCCTTTAAAGGATGTTTTCAGGGATAAAAACTACCCTATGTTCTTTCTCGGTACTCGGACGATCTGCGTACCAAATTTCATCTTAATCGGTTCAGCGGTTTAAGCGTGAAAACGTAACAGACAGACAGACAGACACAGTTACTTTCGCATTTATAATATTAGTAGGGATATTTACGATTTGAAGAAAGTGGCTGGCAACCAATGGATTTGGACTGCCCAAGACCGAGACAGTTGGCGCTTCTTAAGGCCCGGAGCTTGGGAGACCTTGGTCCAGCAGTGGATTGTGATAGATTGATGAGATCTACACGTTTTTCAAATCTTGAATCACCGGAATCAAATGAGTCTAATATGAATGTCTAATAGATAAACCTAGTAAAATGCGATTACAGGTTTCTGGCTTCTAAAATTGGATTTTACGAGATCTAAGGTAATCTGAATATGATTGGAGCGTAATCTTATAAGGAAGAAGTCCGTTGAAAATGTAATTAAATTATCACTTGAAACAATGACGAATAAAGAAGTACTGAGAGCTCACAGTCCATTTTTTTTTCAAATTACAGACTACTGGAAATGTTAATTAGGTGAAGTTAACATTTAAAATCGTACGATCGTAATTTTACACAATACATGTATGTAATAATATTTTTACAAGATTAAAGGAATTCTTTCCCTTTTATTACTGGGAACATTATTTATTCTGTGCCTTTGGAATAGAAATTGAGTTTCATCCACATCGCCGTGGAAGAGTCATCCTACCACTACCACTGCACCACCAACTGCCTCGGTGGTGCAGTGGTAGCGTATGCGACTGCTGTACTCGGGTTCGATTACCCGGGTCGGACCAAATGTTTGTATGATCTGCAAATATTTGTTTCGGAGTTTCGGTGTTTTCTATACATACATGTGTGTATTTACAAATAAAAGTATATAAGTGTTCTATCAGTCAATCTAGCTTTCACAGTACAAGCTCTGCTTAGTTTGAAACTAGATGGCGTTCTGTGTCAGATGTCCGAAAATAGATGGAAATAGATGTCAGGAAATATTATTATTATATTATTAGTAATGAGTGACCTACCGTAGGACCGACCTCCCCCGCTAATTTGGGTTATAATGTACTATGTAAGCTAGTAATATTAGTTTAATGGCTGTGACCCGTCGGCAACTTTGCCACTATACCGAAAAAAAGGCCGATTTAATGTTTTTTTTTGAAAAGGTATACTTCCTGTTTGGTCTCATTGGAAAAAGATAAAAATCCATCCACCACCACTATATTACGATTCATCACGAATTCATTCATCACGCAGAAGGCATTGAAGTTGCTGATGATGCTTGATGTAAAAGCTATTTATTTACATTCCATTCAGTGTGCAAATGCTTGTGTTTGCGACAATAGTCCCCTTACAAGCTATGCAGAGGGGCTTTCCCCCTCCGCCGTTACCAACCTACCGAGTCACTATTCATCAGAGGGAAAATCATTATCGAACAAGTGTTACACCTGACAGCTCCTAGATGGCGTTAGTTGTATGTTTAAAAAGTAGTTTCGGCTATTTTATTGTCATGTTCCTATACAGTTATTTTATAACTTTAAATCTGTAAATGACGACATCTGTAAGGCAATTGGGAATATTAATAGATTCTAGTTGTACCGAACGAGTCTAAGCTAAACCGGTTTCCATTAGAGTACCTACCTATGACGTTTTACAATTCACACTTCCAACGTGATAAATGAAAAGAGTTATATAACAGTTTATTGTTTACTAATATTGTAGATAGTAGTACACTAATTACTTGGCAAATAATTTACAACTAGTCGAGACTAAAAAAAAAAACTTCGACGTCGGCGTCGGACAACAGAGTTTGGCATTTCATCAGCCGTACATTTGGAAGA